GCTCCACAGTTTGCCTTGAGTTTCCCTTGCTTTGAACAGGAGGCTGTACTGATGACTTCCAGTTCTACTAGAATATCTCAAAAACTAAGTTACTGTATTTTTCTACTTATTATATAGCTTGAAGAGTCTTCAAAGATCAGGTTATGTATTTGTCTTACAGACTAGCTGCAATAAGTAAATGCATGTGTGCACCTAAGCTTCACCTGAAGCATTATTTTATGGGGGGAAAGGTTATTGACAAAACTATACAAACCTCACTGTCTTCCAAACTTTGGGAGTACTTAAGTCATAAGTGAAATTTATATGCACTCACATAAAAAGAAATTCTCCAATTGAAGCTTAAAAATGGTGTCAGATTTATAACTGTGACTGTTTTAATACTTCTATTTTCCCTCCATGCTTTTTCATAAAACAAAGATATGCCCAGCTACTGAAGTATTAACAAAAAAAGAACAAGATGTCATCTAGTAGTTGCCCTGTAACTAAACTAGAATCAGCTATAGGGAGTACTGTCAACTTGGGAAATTTGCAACTTGCTTTTTAGTTCTTTTTCTAACTAGTGATGCACTCAGAAAATGTTTGATTGTATATTCAGAAGCATGTAACAGAGTTCATAACATTTAAAATGCCTTTAGTTGCTGCTGTTAGTGATGATCCAGAAAGTTTCAAACAAATAGAACTTGGTTTAATGTTTCTCTTTTTTTCTCTACCATCCCTCCCCTTTTAACATTATGTTTAAAAAAAAAATTATAACATTTTTATTTATGGCATCAGTGGTTGCACGCACAGTTACCACAGGAACAGACTCAAATTTGCAATGATGTAGGAGTATCACTTTTATCCTACATAAGTCATCATCCAAAATTCTTGTAAAATGAGCGTATATCAGTAGCTGAGAAACTCAGGATTATGTATTTTCCTTACATGCTGTCCTTTTTTAACATATTGGAAAAACACATCGCAAGAAATCTAAAAAAGGAACAAGTGATTAAAGAGGTCCATTTAATTTAATCTACATATAAGGAAATCAGAGATTATGAAGTGAGAAAAAAAGCTAGGGAAAACCTAATGTTTTATATGAACACTAAAATTATCCTAGACACCATACACTTACTACATTTGGGCAGGCCTCAGTAGAACTGGAGTGGCTGTGATCCCTAGATGACCTACACCTACTTCTGCTTAAACTCTTTTTAGCTGTAAACATATTTATGAAACACGTCAGTTTATTAACAAATTAAAGTCTTTTGAGATATTTTTAACACAAATAAATTAATGTCTTTTCACAAATGAAAATAGAAGAGTTCTCTTTCTAGACCCTTCCATTTACCAATCAGGTAAAAATATCTCTGATTTCTAGAGATAATTTCTGTCATGTAAAACGGTTACATTTTGATTCTTGAATAAGAAACTCTCCCCATCCTTTCTTTGCTGATGCTAGGAAACTACAGATTATTGAAACATGCTTCTCTTTTCCAAACAATTTCTCCTATCAAGTTTCTTAAATTTAACTAGATAATATGCCATCCTTGTTAGAATGAGGGCATTTTTCACAATAAAATTTTACAAGGAATAATGTAAACCTGAAAAATTGTACTTCTGTTATTATAAACAATTCCTCTGACTCCTACCAGTTAAATGTACTCTCTCTTCAGTATGTTCATCTTAGAGCAAACAGCTGTGAGACACCGTGCCAAGCCTTTTCTTCTCTTTATTTTCCATTTCCATCAGCAGGTTTTTTATTAGCAAGGACAGTGAGGAACATAAACAGTTGCTGTATAAACAGTGTTGACAGTAGCTACCTAGCTGACTTCACGCCTCTTAGAATTTTTTCAAATTCATCTATGTTTAAATAACTCCTTCACACTTTTAAATATACACCAATGAAAAAGCATTATTTTAGAAATACACATTCAAGTCAGCCAAAGCAAAATTGGGAATATTGTTTAAACAAACCTTGAACCGGGAAGACGCTGATTTCCTGGAGCCACCCTGCCAGCAGCACCTGCTGTGACCGAGATACTCTGGGCAGAATAGACCAGCTAATGGCAGGCTCAGGGCAGGAAAGCAGCAGATGTTGTTTATATTGACTCTTGCAAGGCTTTTGACATTGTCTCCCATAAATTCCCCACAGACAAACTGATAAAGTACAGACTACAGAAATGGATAGTGAGATAGACTGAAATCTGGCTGAACTGCTGGGCTCAAAGGGTTGTGATCAGCAGGAAGTCTAGCTAGAGAACAGTCTGCAGGTGTACTCCAGAGATCAGTACTAGGGCCAGTTCCCTTTAACTAGCTCATTAATGGCCTGGATGATGGGATACAGTGCACCCTCAGCAAGTTTCCGGATGACACCAACTGGGAGGAGCAGCTCACAGACCAGCCGGTTGCAATGGCATTCAGAGGGACCTTGAAAAGCTCAGCCACAAACCAACAGGAATTTTATGAAGTCCAACAAAGGGAAGTAAAAACTCCTGTACCTAGGGAGGAATAACCCCAAGCACCAGAACAGGATGAGGGATGATCAGCTGGAAAGAAACTTTGCAGAAAAACACCTAGGGCTCCTCATGGGCTCCAAGCAAGACCATAAGCCAGCAGTGTACCCTTGCAGCAGGGAAGGCCAAAAGCATCTTGTGCTGCATGAGGAAAACATGTTGTCAGCAGGTCAAGATCAAGATCATTGCACTCCATTCAGCACTGCTGAGCCCCTGAAGGGCTGTGTCCACTCATGGACTGTGCAGTACAAGCACACATGTGCATCCCAGAATGCAATCCAGTGTAGGAGTGCCAAAATAATTAAAGGATTGGAGCATCTGACATGGTGAGCCTGAAAGCACTGAGACTCCAGCCCGGAGAAGGCTCCAAGAGATCTTATCAATGTGTATAAAGACCTGAGGGGGACAGGGGTAAACAACACTTCTCAGTGGTGCCCAGCAACAGGGTAAAAGACAATGGGCACAACCTAAAACATATTAAATTCCACATAAGCAAAAGAAAGCCCTTTTCTACTCTATGGTTGTTCAACAGCTGTCCAAGCAGCAAGCTGTTTTACTTGATCAGGGCAGGTGTTGGACTAGACAATTTCCAGACACGCTTTCTAACCAGGTATGGTTCTTTGTGGAAGAGACAAAAGGAAGGAAAATTCATCTAAGTAATACAGACTGTGGGCTTAATGTCAATTGTTTTCTATGCACACACCAAGCCTGCAATAAGACAAAACAGTTGCCTGTGTCTGACTTCATCATATGAAGGTAAGTTGTTTATTTGACTTAGGAAAAGCCTCATTGTGCAGATACAACAAAATAAACTATTTTTCTCTCCCACGCTTTTCTGATGCCCAAGTCTGTAGGTCTAAACAGTATGAGAAACACCTAACATAGAGATTAAGGCCATGTATTTGTTTTCACCACTCAAATAATTCACCTTATTGTCTATTGAAATGTCCATTTGTAACAGCAAACTTCTGTCACTTTAATGAATTTCTGTGTGTCTCCTCCAGCCAGTACTCAAGCAGTAAAGCTAGTCTAACCAAAGCAGGGCAATGGGAAATCATCCTTCTCCTTTGATAAAGCCTCTTCTCTCACATCAACGTATTGACAGTTTTGTTTCACAACTGTAGGAAAAATGAGAGGAAACAAGAGAATGTCACAGAGAAAAGCTAGAACATCTCATTCATGAAGAGCAGGCACCTGTGCACTGACCCAATTAGGCATTCAAACACTTGTCACTTTGGAGTTGGCTGGTTGTCACTCATCCAATTAGCCCCAGGGGATCTATTGTATGGTGGTGTTCCCTGACAGGAGAGCTGGAGCAATGGAGGCGATGAAGGCACAGTGATAGGGTGCCAGGATCCTGGTGAGTAAGAGAGCCAGTAGCAAAGCCAAAGAACTTCTGAGCTTCCTTAACTTGTTTACCATCCAAAAAGCCTTTCAGAGACTTCAATGGTCTTTTTTTTTTCAGAGCAGTCTAGTTTAAAAACCTTACAGTAACAGTACTCTTTATCCAATTATGCATTTAACTCCTGAGTGACTAACACAAGAACCATTTCAGAAGAGGTAAAAAACAAGCAAACAAAATATCTTAATTGCAGGGAGAGATGCATTAAATGTTACTTTCAGTAGCACTGCCAGCAAGTAATTCAGAAGTTAAAATGATTCAGTGACCATCTCCTCACTTCTCTGCTTTAAACATATTACTGATGCTTTCAAATGCTCTGTCTGCTTGACCACATCAATTAGGGACAAAACACTTTACAACCATCCACAACTGTGTACTGTAAAAGATAGAAAAGTTCTGTTCTACTAAACTACATACAATACCACGTTCAAGCTCCCCAAATCAGATTTTTCATTTTAAAAAATCAGATACTAAACCATAGATGAGTATTCAGCAGCTACTACTCACTTCAAATAAAGCTATCTCTCTTCTAACGCTGACAGAGTTATGCAATACAAATACAAGAGCAGGGAGGAGTTCAAGAGGGATTGGGAAAAAGGTGTTAAGACCTAAACCATTGAAACAAAGATTTCAGAATGTTCCCGTCACTGAATCTGTGGTCTATGTTAGAAGAAAAAATTTCCAATTTTTTCGTACATATATCATGTTCCTTCTAAGTCTGTTTTTCCAGACATAATATTTCGCTAGTTGACTTGCCCCGACACCTGTTCTCTCCAGTAAGGAACATCAGAGATGATTAGGGCTACCTGCAATTATATGAAACTATGAAATATTTGTAGCTGCTTTTCTAGTTAACATATTTTGATATGCCCTTCAGTTGAAATCTGAGCTGAAATTAAAAAAAAAAAAAATTACAGACTCTTAACTCAGACGTGAAAATGCAGGTAAATGCATAACATCTTATATTACTATCCTCGATAATACTTAACAGGAGCTAAATTGAAAGGTAGAAACTTAAGAAATAGAAAATCAATGCCAGTAGTTTGGGGGTTTTTTCCCACTTAACATGGGAAAATAAAATTTAGAGGGAAAAATTATCTTACCTTTATACAAATCACTTCTAAGAAAGTTGGTCTCTCTCTTTACTTTTCTTCCTTTTCTTATCTCCCGTATGACAAGTCTTTATGTTACTGCCCTGCCTGAAAAAATAATATACAACCTGAAGTATTTATAGAGACAAGTAATTACATTCACTCTTAAACTACAACAAATACTTCATATATGTCTTGATAAAGTTGCAATACTAAATTCAGTTAAGCCAAATGAAATGGTATTTTAATAGTAACTAAATATGTTGGGCCAAAGAAAAAACAAAAGCATTAGAAAGAAAAGCAGCTCCCTAGGTTTCAAAGTTGTGTTTTGCGTTCTCCAAAATAGCCACTTAGATCAGATCAAACCACAGCAACCACAGTTTATCCAGGTTCACTGCACCATTAGTTATAGTCAGTCAGTACTTCACAAAGCTTGAGCAAGACAATCAGGAAGCCCAACCACTTCTTTTCAGCGTTCAGTAACCCAACTTAAGGCACACTGGGTACCTCAGGACTAAACACTTCAGTCCTGTTTGTGCTACAGGTGCCCAAAATTCTAAAGACATCCACTGGAAGAGGTGGTAGCAGCTGACAGCAGGCCTCTGTTGCAGGAAAGTGTTTGGTCATAGACAGCACTTGCTGTGACTTAAGGGAAATTTGTAATTTATCTTAACTCCCAATTTCTAGGAGAATATCCTAAATTCCAGTGGAAGGAGGGGACTCACATCCCCTGCTACCCTCCTCCCCCAATTTAAAAGCACAAAACAAAGAAACAGAAGACAGCAGAGAGGTTTGTTTTGAATTCAGCTGCTACCTTCTTCATTTATTGACAAGAATTCTGCAGCCAGTTCCTCTCATCTCTTACTTTTTGTTACTTTTACCTATTTTAAACACATTTAATGTTTTGTTGAGAGCAAGTTGCCTATCTTCCCATGGTAGTGCATATGAGGAGTTGAACTTTCAAGTATAAACAAGGCTCAAGAAGGACCAGGAATTTTGAAAGCGAGCTTCAAAATCTTTCCGAGGACTCTCCTTATAGTCTTTTAGTTTTAACAGGTTTCTCATCTACAAGCTCAGCTATGCTTGTCACAATATGCAGTCGTATGTCAGTGAACTGGTGATGAACTGCAATGAACAGCAACAAATTAGCATCACTGCAGCACCTGTTATTTTGTGTCCCACACATAAAAGTATATACATTTTATTTGTAGGACAGTGATTAAAGTTACTTGTTTCATCTTAACTGCAGATTGACGCTGTGTTGTAAAGTAAACCAAGAGAGACAGCAACATCTCAGCTTACAATGGTGATAAAGGAAGATCAGTTTAATTTCTCATCAAGTTGATAATTCAATCATACAATTTCTTTCCATATACTTTTAAAAGCCTTTTTATTGTTAGATTGGCCTGCCAGTTGGCCAAACCAGAACTGTTGACTAAAACTCTCTTGTAGCTATTTCTTTCAGTAACAAGCAACACTTCTCATAAATTGTTTTTATCACGCTCTTCCAAAACAACTTGTTGCTCTTACATAATAAAACATTGGAAACAACACATTATCTTTGTAACATGAGGAGTTTTGGCATACATACATAATTTATTTCACCGGGGTGAAATTCTCTTAGGAGAGTCACTTCATTGCCTTAATCTTCATTCAGGCACTCAAATCACTTCCAACCCCCTGCCTCTATATTCAGCTGGAAAAGCTGCCTGCAAACCAGCAGGACATGGATGAGCCAAAGTCAACAGAGAACTTGCATTCAGCAGTGCCACATGCATGCAGCTTCTAATTGACCACAGCACAGCCTGACACTGATCACACAGATCCCATTACACCAAGGCTCCAGCTGCATCCACCCTGCCATTCGTGCTGCTTCCTGGCTGCTTCAGTCCCCCAGCAAACTGTCTCCGAGACAAAACCTGGCTGTGCTTTAGGGAACGTTCCAACCTGAAGAATCCTTCCAAACAACAGCATGGGTAAGGCTGCCTTAAGTTTTGATTCTCCACTCTTGACAGCCCTGCAATTGCTGTGTTCCAGGCACTGCATCCTCATTTGTAGGCTCTGCCTGCGTCCATGGGACCCACTGGAGCAGACCCCAGGACTGAGAGTATTAGCCTGTAACATCACGACTTTGATGGGCTGCAACACAGCTCCCACTATCCCAGGTACTCTGAGCTAAAAGACACCAGCTACTTATCAGGGCTGCAGGAACACCACAGCACCCAGACCACGCTCAGATTATGGCCAGCCTTCTTTAAGAGACTCATTTTCTAAAGCATTAAAATGCAGATGTAGCCCAGCCTTTGCCAATCAGCCTACCTTGATGACATGTATTTGTCCCTGTATTCTTGTTTTTGCCATTTAAGAACATCCATAGCCTCAAAGGCTTTGTTTAAAAGTTAGGCATGTTCTGAAACACAGGGATGACTTGTATAAGACCTGATATAAGCAGAAAAACACAGCTCTGTTGACACCACGGGTCAACTTTTCAAAGCTTCTAAGATTCACTAAAAGAAGAGGAAAAACTGAGTAGGAAATAAAAATCAAGGAGAAGTGAAAAAATGATGGTTCTAAAACAAGTCCATAGATTAGATGAAATATATTTCATAAATTTAAAAACATATCTGGGGGTTGTATAATTTGCTTATATGACCTAGCATAATTAGCAAACTGTGGAAAAGTAAAGAGTTTTTAATTTTCCACACCTGACATTATGCTTACTGCATACTTATTTGTTCAGATATTGATGAAATAACTACAATTTACATAGTACTGTTGCTTTTCTTGTACAAGTGTTGACAGACTTCAGGGAAACTAAATTTAGAAAAAGAAATACATAGATTCCAATAGGTAACTATGCAAAAAGTTCAAATGTGAAAATTTCAAACTATTAAAAATCCATTTTTTAATTTCATAATCTGATTGGCTAAATTGTTTTACAAAAAATGCACTCCAAAATATTCTTTAAAGTATCAAGACACTTTAATTTTTAATGTAACCTCAAAAAGCAATAGTGAGACAATATGCACTTTCTCATAAAATTAATAATGTATCTATATACACATATATATAATTCAGTTTCTGTTTATTTTACAATACTGTGCAAAGTTCTTCAATAGAAAAACTTTTCTTTGTGATATTTAATGTATTTAAGCACAGTTTTATGCAATTCAGTACTGCAGAGCTCCATTGTTCACCCTTGTGCAATTTCTTCCTCTTTCAGAGCTAAGGATTAATGAGGAGCTCTCAGAAAAGGAGAAACCACCCTGGGTTGGTTGATGAGGGCAATGATCCATCTTGCTGTCATATCTGTCTTATTTCTGGATGTGCCCAACCCCCCAGATGATTCTGCCAAAGTAATAATGGAAAAAAAAAACTACTGAAAATACAACAAAAGTAGCTCTTTGTTTTTTCATTTCTTATATACACACCCTCATGAAAACACTTCCTAGAGTGGGCAGTCCATCCTAGATTATATTAACATCCGTAAGAACAATGCCCAAATTTTATTCACATTATACTAATCAAAACAGAGTACAGATTTCATCTGATCTTCAATATGTTGCAAAGTCATGCCCTTCTTTCTTGGATACATTTTATAATCTCATTCTTTCAATTCCTAGGCTATTAATCAAAGTTGAATGTTTCAGGAAGTTACATAGCTTAGGTTTATTCTTCTGTTCAAAGCTATAACCTGAATTTTTTTATGATACTTCATCCCACTAAATCAAACTAACTAATACCAAGGTACATAAATCTCAACTATTTGAGTGACTGGGAAGTACCAGGATAGAAAAGGGAACTCGGCCATTACCTTGTGCATGTAGCTATACAGCTGTCTTGGTCCTCTTCCTTTTTTGGTGGGTCACTTTTTCTTTTCTTCCCCTTAGTGAGTGATAAGAATTTGTATCATGCTCCCCTTCATGTTGCAAATTTGACAAAACTGGTGCTAAGCCCTGCAGTTGCTGGCCTGTGTGCAGGGGCACACAGAGGGGCCGTTTCCAGCCACCCGTCGCTTTGTCCTCAGCCCTGCCAAGCTTCTGTGTGATCAGCACAGGCTTTGTGGCCATACAATAGGGGTTAAACATTTCCCTGCATTTATAGAAAAGCAGAGCTAAATCTGCTTAGCTGCATGAACCTTTTAATAAAATTACACTCACGCTATTAGAGCATTTCCCCATTTGTTTGGTTTTTTAAGAGTAATTAAAATTTTATAAACCAAAATATATATATATAGGGTCTTTCATCATATGTAGTGCATTAAAAATGCAATCAACATTAAGATTTTTATCCAGCTCTTATATTATCCACACAATTGCTTTCCAAGCAGCTACCAGTGTCTTGCCTATTTACTTAGAGATATGGTTTCATTTCTCCTTTACATTCTACTTGATGACTTGCCAGTGGGACAATCCCCTATCTCCAACACTGTGTTTAAAAGACAGATCACTGCAAAAACTACCATCTGTACTCAGTGGTGAAATTCCAGTGTAAAGAAGAAAATTAAAATGTACTGAGAAATAAAGGAAAACATTTTGAAGAATCAAATGTGTTTACCCACAGTCCTAGAAACACTGGTTTCATACACCACATGAGCCTCTGGACCACCCTTCCTTTCCAAACAACTGCCTTGAAGCAACACTGATACAAAAAACTAACTTTTTTTTCAACTCCTAAAGAAAGAAAGAAACCCTATGCAAAAATTTTCTATTTTGTTCTGTTACAAATCCAGGTTTTTATTTTTATTTCTTTTTTTTTTGGTTGGTTTGGGAGTTTTTTGCTTGTTTGATTGACTTTTTGTTTGTTTGTTTGAGGGGGGTTGTTTGTTTGGGCTAAGTCCAGTTAAAGCATTTCTAACTTTAAGGGACTCAAAGCATCTTTTTTTAGGTAGCAGGATGAATTCTGTCAGCCTCTATTAGCACCAAAATCAGTTCAGAACAATAACTTCATCTGGTCCATTTGAAACCTATTCCATGTTCAATTAACAATGTTTTTCCTCAGAAAAGCATAAGCTAGACTTAAGAATCGACTTCAAAGCAGATTGCCAGGGAGGTTCAGTAATGACTGCATCCACCTGAACTCTTAAACTTGCCAAAATAGAACCAGAG